TGGGGCTAAAGAGCTGTTGTCCCCCGTCTTGAATGGTATGACTGTTGTGTGTTTTTAAATTATGTATTTTTATGTTTCGTCTTTTTATTTCCTGTCTGTACCCCCCTTCCCTGATTTGAATTGTGAGCCGCCCTGAGTCCCCTTTGGGGAAAAGGGCGGCATATAAATCAAATCAAATCAAATCAAATCAAATCCAACCTCCTCACTCTCCAAATCTGCTGCCAGCTCCCTTGGCCGGCCACAACAGGTATTTTCTGTACACCAAGGAATTTATTGTCTTCCGAGTGTTTAAGCACTTCTGCCTTTGCTGGTTGGTCCCTTTCCCATCTTATAAAAGGTTCAACGGCTGATCTCCCAAAATATCCCAAATAGATGCGATAGATGCCACGGCTTCTTCCTGCGATGCAACATCCTCTTATCTCTGCCATGAGCTATGCTTCTTTTTCCATCCCTGGAAAATGGCTTCAGAGCAGGACTTCGCACTAACTTCTTTTTTGTTGCCTGGAGTGCCTTTCCCCGTTAATCTGGACTTACCCGTAGCTCTTGTGTCTCTCCATCCCTCTGTATAATTCCCTAGTAGCCGTATCGGTGCCAAAGAGGAAACGAAAGTTGAAGGATCTGAACAAGAAGGAAGCCGTAGGAGATTTGCTGGATGCATTCAAAGAGGTGCGTAGCCTGCATGTTACCAGGGGGAAATTAATTAATGACTAATGCAATGATTAATGAAATGTTTCTGAACCTTTGCAACTGTTTAAGATGGCTGGACTTCACCTCCCAGAATTCCCATATTGTAATATGTGTTTTCTTTTATGTTGCACGCCGCCCTGAGTCCTTGGGAGAAGGGCAGCATATAAATCCAATAAACCTAAACCTCTATCATTATCTCTATCCTATCCATAATTATCTGTCATATTTATCTGTCTATCATTTTATCACCATCCATCCATCTATCTTCTATCTATCATCTCTATCCTATCTATAATTATCTATATCTATCTGTCTATCGTTTTACCATCCATCCATCCATCTATCTATCTATTGTTATCTCTTTCCTATCTATAATTATCATATCTATCTGTCTATCATTTTATCACCATCCATCCATCCATTATCTTCTATCTATCATTATCTCTTCCTATCTATAATTATTTATCATACCTATCTGTCTATCTTTTTACCATCCATCCATCTAGCTATCCTCTATTGTTACCTCTTTCCTATCTATAATTATAGCAGTAGCAGTAGACTTATATACCGCTTCATAGGCCTTTCAGGCCTCTGTAAGCGGTTTACAGAGAGTCAGCATATTG